AATATACTCCCTCCGTTTCGTTTTACGACTTAAATTTTGTTTCGTAATAGTTGTCGTTTTAGGTTTTCAATGCAAATGTTTGGTAAAAATTCCAGTATGATCCCTATTGTTTTAATGTTTTGGCCAATGAAAAAATTTATAAGATATACTAATAAAGGGTAAAACAGAAAATTTAATGTTTTTCTTAATTTGTGTGAGAAAACCTTAAACGACAACTAAAACGAAACGGAGGGAGTAAGAAGTAAAAAATTAATGAATAACATTTTCAATAATATCTTCTAATAATATATATATATATATATATATATATATATATATATATATATATATATATAATTTGAATTTTAATGAACGTCGACATGTTGGCAAAAAAAAACAATTAACATATAAAATTTAATATATCGTTCTGTGCATCTAAATAATTGTAAGTCAAAGAAGATGAGATTTCTATAAGGACCAAAAAGGTGAAGATCTTTTGAGTAAGACTTTGGTGAACTCAGTAAATACAATCTCGTCGCGGAACCTCTCGCCAGTTTCTTGTCCTCCCAAAGTCTTTCTCGTTTTTTTAATTATTATATAAAGTTACATTTGACATTTTTTAAAGACATTATGTTTTAGTTGAAGACTTAACAGTACAAGCAATTCAGTTGTTTAGCTGACCCTTGAAAAGTACGATTTATCCATCAACCATTTCATTTTTCTTTCTTAATTTTTTTTTGCATTTGATTTAAAACTACATATTTCCTTTATGATCCATAATTATGCAATTGCTCTACTTAGTTAGTATTAAAGGTGTGAATATCTGACTTCTTTGTTCCTTTGTTTAATCATTGACCGTCGTCTAATTAAGTTGTATTCATACGTATGAGGACATGATTGTATAATTAATAAATTAGACGAATTCCAAATCTTATTAGGAGAAAAAAGTAATAGAAAAAAAGTGCATGATCTGATCTCATTCAATGTAAAGAATAATTTTAACGAAACTTGAAACAATCTATGACTTGTAGAAGACGATATAACCGAGTTTTCTACTTTAACACTTTTTTCCACATAATAAATCTATATGTAAGGATATAATATTATGCTTAAAATTTGAAACACGAATTAAGAGAACTTAGTATAGAACAACAAACGTCGGGACAAATGTTTGAAGAATAAACTTCTCAAGCAACCGCGTGAGGATTAATACATTATATCTTACTTTTTCTTAATCAATACATGAATAACAAAATGACAAGGAGAATTTTGTTATGTCAAATCGTCTGAATTTTATTTGGTAAATTCTGTCACGTTAAGAAATTTTTATTTCTTATTTAGCAAACACATATTTTCAAATTCTTTTTAAGTTTTGTACATGCATGTTAAAAAATGGCTGATAATATATATATACTTTTTGGTTTTTTTTTTCTCTCTTCAGAAAATAGAAATCGGGTTTGATGTGTTATCTTTGGAAAAACACATTTCGTTATTGCAGTTAACTAAGGAATAAATGAAACTACAAGTAAAAATTAAAAATTATTTTTTGTTTTTTTTTTAAAAAGAAAGTATTTATTCAAAATTTTGTGACATACTATAGAAGTAAACAAAGTAACTAAATTATACTTGAGAAATTAAAGAGTATGTAAGTTCTTGATGTGTTTATAATAGATGGGAGCATTGGAGGTTTGGAGAGTTTGCTGCACCAACTAAACACCTCAAGCTTCAGTTTTCCGATCCTTTTATTTATTTCAATGCATTTTATAATTAAAACCATCATAAATAAATGAACAATCATGTCAGCATATATAACTATTTAGTGGAACACAAACACACATAATATCTACTTAATACGGGAATTGTAAATCATGTACTTGTGGCCTGTGTTGTCTGTCTGACTTCAAATACTTCTTGGCTCTTTGTTGATCGACCATCCTATATGTATAATCGGTTTTTGAAGAAACATATATAACATCCATATTTGTGTGACTTTTCTTTGAACTTTCGTAAATTTTTAAAACCAACAAGAACTACTGTAAATTCAATTGATTAAAATTTGTATGTAGTAAAAACATATGTAAGTATACTATGAACTTTTCTGCTGAGGTTTGGAGATTAATCGCACATAGACTTAGGGTATCTTCCCCTCCGCTCTTATGAGATCAAATCCTTCTTTGGCTGCCAACGTCTTCAACATCAAAACACAAAAAGCTTGCTATCCTTCAAGCTTGCGAAATCGCCGTTTCCATGATGGTCTCTTTGTTTCTCCAGTTATAGTGGCAACACATATTATTTCCACCATGAATAGCAAGTGTACTGCTATATATGCTACAGTTGGGCTTAAAGATCACTTCTTCAATACTGGCTTAACTAAGGTTGAAAACAAACAATAGGATCTGTTTCTTCTTTTATTCAGCTTTGTTTGTTTTGTATCTTTCATCCTCCTAGTATTGTTTACTAGTTTTCTTTCTGGTTTTTGTTTTTGTATACGTTTCTCTTTATTTATATAAGCAAGCCTTTTAACAAAAATGTATACTATGAACCATTCCCGAAAATCAAATTTTTTTTTTGTTACAATCATAAAAATTAAAAAGTCGCCACCTCGAAATAACCTGAGAGATCCATTTTCAATAATTGAAAACAATAATAGTGTGAATGGAGATATTCATTTTGTGTACCAAATACAAACGTCAGGTGGTATATTTACATTGTTGGTACGTGGAAATGATGGAGTAAGAAGAAGCCATGCATTAGATGACAAAACGATGATCGTCGCCTTGCGTGCATGGACAAGGTTCTTTTAGTCCAACCACGTAATCCTTTGTTTTTGGCTTTCACATCTTTGTTGACCAAACTTACCATTGTTATTGGACTTTTTTGTTTATTACTAAATTTCCCAATAAGTTCACTTTGGTCTCCCCATTACCAACTCGTTATAATATTCCGAATATACCCAATTTTATTTGTCAATTTGGTAATAGATAAAAAAAAAAGTATACTTCGAGATTTTTAAACTCTTAAAAGAAAAAAGCAAACAAAGAACAAACGTCCATGAAAAATATGTAGATTTAGTTCCTGAAATAATGGTTCATACCAAACAAATAAAAGTATGAGTTGAATGTAATTATAAATGTACCTTGAATCTTGCAACTTTTAAACACATGTGTTCGTCGCTTTTAATGCTAAATTGTTTTTTTTGGTGAATCGATTACCTTTCGTAATTCTGCTGAAAATTATATTGAGATATTTGAAGTATATATACTTTTGCCCTCATTAAATTGGCCGCAGCAAACGATGGTGCAGCGAGTATAAACTCGTCCACAACATCTTGAACAATGTGTTTAATTTATTGGGGGAGAAAAGTTACAAATCATGATGAAGTGGTGACTAATCTACATTATACTCCATAATGTAGTGAACAACCAGAAACTACATAATGCATGCTCGTTTAATTTTTTTGTTTTTAATTAGTTGTCGTTTTCAGTTTTCGATGCAAAATATATTATTTTTTATCTTTTTATATTTATCTTTATTATGCAACTTGATTTACTATTGGTTAAATTATGTTTAGATAGATAATTAATGATATTTTTATATTGAAAAACTAACAACATTAATAGTTTCTTAATGTGTGTGTATATAGTTAAAACGACAACTATTCGAAAACGGAGGGAGTAGTGAACAACCAGAAACTACATAATGCATGCTCGATAAATTGAAATCCATTCAGATCTGAATGCTGGTCTTCAAAAAAAAAAAAAAAAGATATAAATGCTTAAATGATCTGCATACCATAAATAAATATAGCTTATCTAATCCATCTACGAAAAAGATTATTTTATATAGATTTGATTTACCAAACCCCCAGAAACAACGCATTACCACAAGGGCGACATTTCACGGATATTGTCCCCCATTGACCACATAAATCTCAGTAACATTTTCCCCTTAATTTAGAATGTTTGAACAATTTTCTTCTGACCAGGTATATAAATTCTATTCTATATCTATATTAAAAAACCACAACGATATAATGGAAGCTACATAAACAAAAAATAGAATACGTATATGTGGTCAATGAACATATATAGCTCAAAAACAATGTGTCTATGGAATTAGACTTTAGATATATCTAAATCTTTTCCTTTAATTTGACTTTTGAAAAACTTACTTATCTATCATTAGAAAGGTTTAAATTAAAGTACGTATATTCAGCAACACACTTGTGAAAATATTGCGGTAGCCATGAAAATTTGCAATCAAAATGCACATACTTTTGATAGATCATAGTTAGACTACATACGGCGGAAAGATAGTCCGATTTAATTTCCGAATTATGTTTAAAACATAATTTAAAACCAAACACAAACACTAGTTTCAAAAAAAAAAAAAACTTAATTTGGCAGTACAATTTGAGACTAATCGTAGTTTTATTAAATATAAACACTCGTCGTAGTTCAGCCACAAACATTTTGTAATTTGTATCAAAGTTGCCTCCGGAAAATAATCATAACTTACACAGTAGATTTGCTATAAAATAATAATAATACATTTTATTCTTCTATTTGATCTAATAAGTCACATTATCCATTTGCTCTTTTACGAATATCACTACCAGAAATTTGAATATCGTAGTTTTATTAACTATTGCATTTGAAGTCACCTAGAACACACATACATCCGATCCTAGGAGATGCACTATTCATTTCCAAACACTCAGAGACAGTGGTGTAGTCAGACAGTCGTCAAACTTCTATCTTGACTTAAATTAAAGTTATCAAAAGCCCCCATGTATAAATGCTTAAATGCTTTATTGAAATTGAGCATAAATTTTGTAGAAAGACAAAATATTTGTTTTCTTAAAAAATGCATGGGATATACGTCAGTTCATGGTACGTATTGGCTTCGTCGCTAGCTAGAAGTAGATTTTACCGTATCCAAAGAAACGGCGACATAGATTTTGTCTAAGAAATTAGTTAATAAAAATACCAAAAAAAAAAAAATTTTAGTCAAACAAATTACATTAAAGAAAGCCAAGTGTTAGGGACGAAGAATTATCTCTATTATATATAAAGTTATCATCAAACTTCCACGAAACTGTATATAAATACCAAGTCCTAACCTCAAGCTTTGGTAGTCTTACAAGAGAGATAAGACAACCTAATCAGAGAGAGATGGGGAGGTCGCCTTGTTGCGACGAGAATGGTCTAAAGAAAGGGCCATGGACTCCTGAAGAAGATCAAAAGCTTATTGATTACATTCATAAACATGGTCATGGAAGCTGGAGAGCCCTCCCCAAGCTCGCAGGTTTTTTCCTTTCTCTAGTCTCTTAACTCAATCCACAATCATTTTATATAAACTTGTATACATGGTTTTGAAAATTCTTCTTTTTCTTTTCAGATTTGAATAGGTGTGGAAAGAGTTGTAGACTGAGGTGGACAAATTATTTGAGACCAGACATCAAAAGAGGCAAGTTTTCCTCCGAAGAAGAGCAAACAATCCTCCATCTCCACTCCATTCTCGGGAATAAGTAAGTGATATTTAAACATATATTCATATTTTTTTTTTGTTATAAAACTTTGAATTAAAATTCGAGTAACTATTTTTTTTTTATCATGTATAGATGGTCAGCTATTGCCACGCATTTGCAAGGTCGTACAGATAATGAGATCAAAAACTTTTGGAACACACATCTAAAGAAGAAATTGATCCAGATGGGAATCGATCCCGTGACTCATCAGCCAAGAACCGACCTCTTCGCAAGCTTACCTCAGCTCATAGCCTTGGCAAATCTAAAAGACCTGATCGAACAAACATCACAATTTTCATCCATTCAAGCCGAAGCAGCCCAACTAGCCAAGCTACAATATCTCCAATGTATGCTTAATTCTTCGGCTTCATTAACCAACAACAACAGCAACAACAATAGCCCGAGTAGTATTCTCGATATCGATCAGAACCATGCCATGAACCTCTTAAACTCCATGGTCTCTTGGAACAAAGATCAAAACCCGACTTTTGATCCGGTTCTTGAACTCGAGGATAACAATCAAAATCAAGATTTATTTCCACTAGGGTCTATCATTGATCCAACCACCCAACCACTCCAACAACAAAAATACCATTTAAACAATAGTCCTAGTCCTAGGGAGCTACCATCACAAGGTGACCCACTTCTTGATCATGTCCCTTTCAGTCTCCAAACACCTTTGAATAGTGAGGATCACTTTATAGATAATTTGGTCAAACATCCAACTGATCATGAGCATGAACATGATGACAATCCATCTTCATGGGTTCTCCCTTCTCTTATAGACAACAACCCTAAAAATGCCACGTCTTCTCTTCCACACAACAATCCGGCGGATGCAAGTAGCAGCTCAAGCTATGGAGGTTGTGACGCTGCGTCATTTTATTGGCCTGACTTTTGCTTCGACGAAAGCCTCATGAACGTTATTTCTTAGTTACTCTTGGTTTAGTGTTTTTTTTAGATCTCTATTATTAGAGCTGTAACCATACCCACGTGTAGTCGAGCTACGTTTCGTCAAGGTGAGTTATTTTTGTATACTTTTTTATTTGGTTAGCGCTTTATTTTGGTGTTTGTAAGTAGAAGTTGTGATCCGTTTATCCCTTTATGTTTTGAGTTTTATGTAATTAGACAGGAGTCACATGTATGTGCTACAAGTATGGGTGTACGTATTTTTTAAATATAGAATGTTTCATTACGTAGAAATTATTTGAAACAGACACTTATTTCTGATTTTCTTCCATATATCCTAAATTGCATAGAAAAGGAAACGAGGAAACGAATTTTAAAAAAATTATGAAATGAAAACGTTTAAGAAAACGTTTATATAATATATGTAGAGCCGTAATAAGAAACACTCGCCTACCTACGCCTTCTAATTTTGAATCAACTATAGTCATATTTGCTAATACTTAATATTCCCTTGAAGTGATAACGTAAATATAGTTCTATACAAATGACAAAAAAAAAGAAGATTTATACAAATTTAGGAATATATGCGGTCCTAATAACCATCATATAATAAATGTGATTAGTAGAACGAGAAATAAGATTCCTAAAATGCAAAGCACCTATCGACTATGAATCTCTGATCTCCCTTAAAAACACATTTAAAAATATTTATTAACTACCGGTAAGTTTTTGTAATTTTGTTACACCGCATTAATTTTTTTAACAACTTATTTAATCAGTTACCCCAATTTATTTTCGTCTATTATTTTTAAAAATTTAATATATTAAATTCCAATTTTTGTACATTACAGTTTTTATATAAAATTATATCAGAAAATTTATTTTTTGTTTTTTTAATAACATACATTTATATCGGGTTTGAACTACAAATAGTTAATCGTAACATACAAAACATCAAAATAACAAACATAAAAATGTTTTGATATATTTTAAAATTTTGATATAAATGATAACATTATGATATAATTATGATATAAAATACCCAACATTAAAATAACATTAAATAATTTGATAAAATAAATTTTAAATATTAGGGATGTGTTTATCACGCTACGGATGCGTTTCTCTCGATTACAAGAAATACAGCGTTTTCCTATGGCCAAAATCGTAGGAAACTGGTAGGAAATAGACGTTCCCTACCAATTTCCTACGAAAAATATTTGAAGGGAATCGCCCGTAGGAAATACAATTTGGTAAGAAATTCGTTGGAAATTTCCTACGAAACTTGTTCGTAGGAAATCGCGTAGGGAATTTCGTAAGAAATTAGTAGGACTTTTTTCACCATTATCCTACCAAAGTTTCGTAGGAAATTAAATCCTTCCATTTTCCTACGAAATATTTCTCACCAATTACCTAATAAAATTTTCTTATCAGTTACCTACGATACGCCTCTTACCATATTTCTACCATTATCCTTCGAAATTTTAGAAACAATTTCAATGAAATTATTTATATTTATTTGTTAAAAATTTTGGTTTTTTTTAAAAAAATAAATTTAAAATTCAAAAGAAACCTACTTCATACCAAATAAATTCCATACAAAATAAAATTCATTGTACAAACAATTTTAATATAAATATTCAAATCCTAATCGTTGAGTCTCGTCGTCGTCATCATCATCGTCACCTACGCTCGTGTTCGTCGTCTTCGTCGTGGGTTTGAGTGACTCTTCTTCCGCTCTCGTTTGCTATGAAAATTCTTTAGGCTGAACAAAGATTGAGCCTCTGCGGATGATAGATGTGGACGAGAGTGGCGAGGTTAACAAGATTCCATTCAACAAATCCATAATCAAAGTGGCGAGGTTAACAAGATATTCAAAGAGGTTGCAGTTCTTGTTTTATCAAGGAGTCATGATAACTAAAGAAATCTATAAAACTCACATTGGTAACTCTTGTGCTTCAACTCTCAGCTGCGACAAGCTGCGAAAACACAAAAATAAAGAAGACTGTTAGTTTTATACATTCTCAAGGTATACGTATTGGTATCTTTCATAAAAGATGCTAAACTTACTAGCAAGAACTGCAGTCCCGTTGTCTAAGTTAGAATTACAGAACAAGCCAAAGCAATTAAAAACAGAGACTCCACGTACATGTACGTAACTTCAAAGGCAAGAAGTTCTTATACACGTAACTAGATCATAATTCCAAAGTCAAAAATACAACTACTTCAATACATGAATAAATTCAAATTATCTATATATCATTTATATCTTTAAAGCTTGAAGCAATTAGATAGATTCTAGACCCAATTGATTGAGAGAGATCTTAAGCAAACTCATAAAGTAACTTTAATCGAAAGCTCTGCTTCAACTAATAACATGAAACTTACCGGAAAAAAGAAGAAGAAGACAACTTCGCCGGGTGGTCTTTGCTAAGAGAAGAAGAAGCTTGATTTGGTGATGACAATAGAATTTCTGGGCAAAGAGAAATCAGAGAAATTTTAGAAATTAGAGTATAACCCATTACTAAACACACAAAAAGAGACACGAATCAATCAATTTTGTGAACATCTACCTCTGTGAATATCTTTGATGGACGATGGAACGATTTTGTGAAGATCTTTCTCACCTAGATCTATGAAGAAGAGGACTTGGGAACAAAGAGAGAGATATCGAAAAGGAATAAATGGAGAAGAAGAAGATCACATGAGATCGAGAGAGAGGAATGGAGAAGCTGCGGGAAGAAGAAGATTAGATTCTAGGTTAAGGTATTTTTGTTATTTCAGAGAAAAATAAGGTAAAATGGGCTGACCCTACCATTTTCCTACCAATTATTTCCCCATAACTTTCCTACGTCGTTTCTTACGAACGATATGTTCGTAGGAAATTGGAAGAAAATATAACTTCGAATTTCCTACCAATTTTTTCTTACCAGTTTCATTCTATTTTCTTACGAAATTTCCTACGATATTTTTTCTTGTAGGATTTTCGTAGGAAATTTCCTACGAACATCTCACGCTTTTTGTCGTCGGAAATTTCATTCGAATTTCCTACGAAATATATATTTCGTAGGAAATGCGTAGGAATTTGGTAGGACATTATTCCTATGTTTTCTTGTAGCTAATAGGATTGTGGCAGAAGTACAATACATTTTGTGGTCTTTTCAGAGCCTGATTGACTTACATATTGAGAATGTCGAAGTTAGTTCAGATTGTTGTGCGGCTATTGATGATGTGAATACTCTGTCAAATTGGCATCATTATAAGACATTCCTTGACAAGATCACTCGTCTTTGCTCTGGTTTTCGCAGCCTCAGTTTTAAACTTTCCTCTCCTTAGGCAAATATGGTAGCACACGATATAACTAAAATTGTGACTAGGGATGGTGCCAAATGTAGACAATAGTTACTGTAATATTGAATGAATTATGGGCTCCATTTTATGTCGAATACGCAAGAGCTTGACTTTTGCAACAGTAATCTAATTTTTTTTTAATATTTTTATTAAAATATTTTTAAAAATAGACTTTTTAATTATTGGAACACGGGATTGGACCCCTGACCGTCGCACTGTCTGCCCTCCTATGTAAGCCGGTACTGGGATCTATTATTATTAAGGTAAAGCTTTTTAAGCCAATCAAAAAATAATGTCATCGTGTTTTGTGAGTTTATTGAATTAAATTCTTAAAGCTTGTTAGATTTACTTAAAAGAAACAATAGTTTAGTTCTTAATTAATATCTCCCATATTTAATTATTATGTGAGAGAGCATGATAGTTAAACATTAGTAATTCAAATTCAAGAACTCATCTTAATGCTTTCATCATTACTTTTCTTTTATATGAACTCCCTAATGATTTCTCTATTCTTAACATTCTTTGTAGATAATTTATTTCTGGAATTTCATACGAGTTCTTGTAATTTTTTATTTTTTTTTCTAGTTAAATCTATTTCTTTATAAGTCTATTTTGTGTTTTTTTGGTTTATGTGAATTTCGATACCTAAATATTGCTGCATTTTCCTCTTCACTTGCGATTTATTTTAATGGTAAATAATTTAATCGTTACAGGACCAAACCTTCTTTACTTGCCGGTCGAAACTCGTCGTTGCCTACGTTAGCTGAGTAACGGAGTATCGAGACTTTAGTTATTCAATTTTATGAATTATATGTTGTTTGTTCATTTGTTTTTTTAGTTGCGAGTCTAAATAGAAAACTTAAATATAATATCTTAACACTTGATTTGTCAAGAACCATGATACTATGAGATATCGCTAAAACGCCCAATGCCTTTAATCTATTCCTTACATCTTCGTTTACTATTTTATTTCATTACATTCATCGTTTGGAAAACTATTTCCGTCTTTTTTTTTTTTGTCATCCAAAATTAATTAGAGCTCAAAAGAACCATTTCTGAGGAATGTTGTTTACAGAAGTGATATGAAGCGGTTCTGTACGAAATTTTCGGGCCAGATTATCCGCCTTAACATTAGCCCGACGAGAAATTAAAGATAAAGAAAAAGATGAAAACTCCTCCTTGTCGCTATGAAATTCCTCCAAATAAACTGAAAACGCCGGCCATTCGGTTGGAGAAGACACCATCTTCACTAGGTCTGAACAGTCTGTAAAGAACGTTACCTCTTGATTATCTGCACCAATCATACTCTTCATCGCCTAGAGAAGGGCCTCGACTTCGGCATGTAGTGGAGATAGACTTCTACGGAGGTTCGCAGCTCCCATGGTTGGCGGCTCTCCATTTGACGATGTACAAAACCAGCCTGTACCGGAGAACTTATCACTTTCTTTCCATGATCCATCCACAAAACAACGGTATCCCGAATACTCCGCCTCAAGTGTAACAAACCTCACTCGAATTCGATTTACCAAGTGCACAGAACCATGATTTATATTATGGAGCTCAATTTGAGCGGACTGCCACAATTGTGCCTCTTTTTCCGCTAATCGTAATACTTCTAATGGGTCTGTATCTATGTTTTCAAAGACCTTTTTGTTCCTTGCTTTCCAAATATACCAAATTATCCATGGGAAGGCTGATTAATCAACTTCCGTAGGTATTCTCCAAAATAAGTGATCCAAATTCGTAAAATTAGATTATGTGGGGAAAATCCCCATAGCCGTAGGAATATGTGAAAGCGCCCAAATATGTCGTGACGGGTAGCACTGAAAGAGTGTATGATTGATCGTTTCCTCTAATGCGCCACATCTGGCAAATCCCGTGTCACAATCAATTCCTCTTTTCCGCAAATTTTCCGTAACCGGTACACATCCCGTTAAGATTTGCCATATGAATGGCGTATCTTAGGTGAACACTGCACTTGCCAAGAATATGCTTTTAACGGGTTGATGTTAGGGCCAAAAAAGTTTAAATTGGTCTCCGACTTTTCCATCCGTGTAGAATGATATCCCGATTTGACAGTATATTTTCCGGATTTTGTAAAATGCCAACCTAAAAAATCTTCTTTTATTGGCGCACCCACAGGTATGGCGCTTATTAGAGCGACATCTTCTGGATTAAAGATCGCTCTTAAGAGATCAATATTCTAAAAATTTGACCGACTATCTATAAGGTCTTTAACTTTTAAAGATGGGTCAACAACTGAACCATTACTTTTTGCTGGTCTCTGGAATTTAGCTGGAACCCAGGGATCCTCCCACACAGAGATGGATGTCTCTTTTAATAAGTTATTTATTAACCAGAGATCTAGCTGAATAAATACTCCGCCATCCATATGATGGAGAATATGATTTTATATTTTCTAAAGGATTGGATTTCCTAAAATACCGTCCTTTAAAAACTTTTACGAATAGAGAATCTGGAATCGTAATCAACCGCCATAATTGTTTTGCTAGTAAAGCTGAATTAAAATCATCCACATTCCGAAATCCTATCCCTCCTTCCGATTTGCTATTGCACAATTTGTTCCAAGTCATCCAGTGCATACCTCTGAGTCACCATTTGAGCTCCACCAAAAATTTGCTACCGCGCTAGTAAGTTTAGAAGTGATTGTTTTCAGTAGTCTGAAGTACGACATAACATAAGTTGGTAATGCTGCAGCTACCGATTTAATCATCACTTCTTTTCCCCCTTTTGATAAAAATTTGGCCGACCATCGTTAATCCTTGTTTGTACTCTATCTCTAACAAAAGAGAAATTTTTTGTCTTGGAAGCTCCTAAACTCTCCGGCAATCCGAGATAAGAACCCATACCACCGATATTAGTGATACCTAAGGTAGATTTGATTTCTTCCTTGATATCATCATCTACCTTGTGTCCAAACTGAATCGAGGATTTTAAAAAATTAATCTGTTGTCCCGAGACCTCTTCATACTTCTTTAAAATCCCTAAAATTACCCCGCATTGTTCCTTGTTAGCCTTGCAAAAAAATAAACTATCATCCGCAAATAACAGATGTGAAACCGAAGGGCTTGCATTTGCCACTTTGATGCCCGTAATTAATTTTTCCCGTTCAGCTTTCAGAATATTTGCAATGAGCACTTCTGTGCAAAGGATAAATAAATAAGGTGAGAGCGGGTCTCCTTGTCATATACCCCTCTTTGGTACTATTAGTCCTCTAGGTTGTCCATTAAGGAGAACTCTATATTGGACCGTTGTAATACACCACATTATCCATTTAATCCATTTTTCACAGAAACCCAACTTCCCTAAGACCTTCTCGATGAAAATCCATTCTACCCTATCATAAGCCTTGCTCATATCCGTTTTAATGGCCATAAATTTGCCTTTACAAGACGGGTTAGTTCTCAAACCATGGAACATCTCTTGTGCAATGAGAATATTGTCCGAAATCAAACGTCCTTCTACAAAAGCCGATTGTGTTTCCGAAATTAGTTTTGGTAGCACCGTCTTGAGTCTTTGGCAAAGGATCTTCGATATAATTTTATACCCGACATTGCAAAGACTAATAGGCCGTAATTCCGTCATCCGTGTTGGTCTTTCCTTTTCTGGAATCAGGCAAATATTAGTCGTATTTAGCCGTTTATCAAAAATTTCATCATCTAGAAAAGAGTTAACCAGACAAAGAAGATCTGTTTTAATAGTAACCCACGCCTTCTCGAAAAATAAAGCAGTCATACCATCAAGTCCAGGCGCTTTTTCCGGGTGCATCATAAACAGAGCCGTTCTCACCTCACATTCCGTTGCAGGTGCCATTAGAAAATTATTAATTTGATCTGTAATCAAAGTTTGCACTTCTGCCAAAGATTCCTCAAAAACCTCAGGATTAGTTGTAGTAAACAGTTCCTTAAAATATGACACCGCTATATTTTGAACATCTTTTTCCTCTGCCGACCAAACCCCGTTTTCATCATGTAACCGTTATTCAATTCCTAGCCCGTCTTTGTTTTGTTAGTGCATGGAAATACTTTGAATTATTATCCCCTAATTGCATCCAACAACACCTACTTTTCTGATGCCAATACAATTCCTCATCTCGATAAGCCTCTTTCAACCGCAAGGTTAATTCTGTAATCTCCTCCCTTGGTCTCCTATCATCTCTTTGTGCAACAAGTAATTCCGATTTTAGTTCCTCAATTGTTTGCCGCCCATGGGGAGTTAAATCTTTCCTCCACTGCGAGATAACCCGCCTACAATTCTTCAATTTTTCCACAAAATTTCCTTCTCCTAACTCAGAGTCAGAATTCCAACCATTTGAAATTGCCTAGAGTAATCCTTCCTTCCCAGTCCATCTTTTATCAAACCTAAAATTTTTTTTTCCACGTGGAACCTTATCCATAAGCGTAGCTACCACTGGTGAATG